ACATGTCCATAACATTTTTTATCCAATTTCTGATTGTTTTTAGAACTCATTTTTGGGTATGACCCTTAGTATACTGGAAAATGGCAGATCCAATGATTTCCTGCACTTGTTTCTTCCTTCTGAAAGGTGTTTTTTCAAGTTTAGAAATAGAAACAAGTCAAAAGGTCAAAGATCTGGCAAATATTGTGAATGTGAAAAAAACATTAACTTTCTGTTTATCCCGAAACCCCTTTACTCTTCAGGGCGTGCGGGTTTGGACGCTTTCATGAAGAAATTAAATGTAGTGGATTCTTGATTCTGGGTCCTTCCTCTAATAAACCTTTCGATTTTTTGCAAAAAATTTGCTTTCTCGACTTCTCCAGAAATTAAACTGTCTCACCGAATACGAATTTGAACAACAATACCACTAATATTTAATAAAAATGCATATAAATCTGTCTTTGTGCTCATGCAATTCTTTGCTCTTGTCAGACCTTTGCTGTTTTTATCAAGTACATCTTATGGTAAATTTTGTTTTGAGAGTTTTAATCTGTCTTTGTGCTCATGCAATTCTTTGCTCTTGTCAGACCTTTGCTGTTTTTTTTCTAATCTTTGTGCTCATGCAATTCTTTGCTCTTGTCAGACCTTTGCTGTTTTTATCAAGTACATGTACATCTTATGGTAAATTTTGTTTTGAGAGTTTTATTCAAGTTCCATTATCTTTTTGAATATCAAACAAACGTGGATAACTACGATTACTGATATTTTAAAATAATTGTTAAGGCATTCGTACACGCTGTCGTTTTCACTCATTTTTCAAAATATAGGGTTTTTTACCGTCAAACGTTTCTTAAAAACAGTGTAAAACTACTCCCAAAATGATGTCTATCAAATTTGCTATGTGTCTTAAAGTCAATCATACATCATCAAATATTATTTGTTGAAATTTGTCAAACAGTATATAACTTGTTATAATTTTTTGTTGGCAAGGACGGTACCCATTTTTGATGCCTATTATATATTTTTTATCATTGAAATCCACCTGCTCATTTGTCTATAAAACAGGCATTGGTTGCTGTAAATGTCGCATATTTCATTGAATATTTCTTTGGGATTTTTGATAAGTTTTACAGCAGTTTAAATAAAGCTTTTAATTTCATTCTAGTTTACTGATTCTTTACCATTTATTTATAATGCAGTGTCTCGAATAGCCCTTGTTTTCCAGCTTCTCACAATGAAACAATGTGATGAAAAGTTGTCACATAAACTGTTAAAATTCATTAAAGATTCAATAATGAGAGAAAGTCAAGCTAAATGTCATATGATATCTGTATTGTATGTCATACAGTTCAGGACATTATTTATTGAACAGCGTATTGTCATTAACGTCCAGATGTTTGACCTATCCGCACTGTCAAAGGCCTTCTCAAAGTCCACGAAGATTGAGTAAATAGGGGACTGCCATTCAATGGACTGTTCAATGATAATGCGTAGTGTGGCAATATGATCTGTGCATGATCTGTTCTGGCGGAACCCTGCTTGCTCTGATCTAAGCTTCTTGTCCAATGCTCCTTTCATTCTTTCCAACATTATTCTTGTAAGGATCTTACTGGCAATGGACAAAAGCATGATGCCTCTCCAATTTCCACACTGCGACAGGTCCCCTTTCTTAGGTAGTTTAACCAATTATCCTGTTTTCCATGCATCTGGTACTTTTTCCTTTTTCCATATCTTTTGCAGAAGTGGTTGTAACATCTCTGCCGACTTTGTTTGAATGCCGCGGGAGGGAAACCATCTGGACCAGCTGCCTTTCCATTTTTCAGTGTCTTTATAGCCTTTGTGATTTCTATTCTAGATGGTGGTCCTGCATTGATGTGAAGTTCTTCTTTCATTGGTGGTATATTTGCAAGACTGGGTGGTGGTGGTCGATTTAGAACTTCTTTAAAGTGCTCCACCCATCTAGCTCTTTGTCCGACATCGCTAGTAATAATTTTTCCTTGTTTGTCCCTCATTGGGCTGTTGGTGTTTAAATTTTTCCCCGAGAGTTCTGATTATTTCTTAGACTAGCTTTTTCATATTGTTCTGTCTGGCTGCTCTCTCTGCCTCGTCAGTCATGTCATGAACGAACTGTCTTTTGTCCTTCCTAGCACTCTTTTTGACTTGTTTGTAACATGTTTGTTTCTCTGTATTCTGATCTCAGTTTCTCCATTTGTTGAATATTCTTACATTGGTTTATTTTTTGCTTCAGCTCTTTCCTTTCTTCCACTTTCCCCCATGATCTTGTTGTCATCAACTCTTTGTGCTCTGTTGCAACGCACTTTGAAAAATTACGCACTTTGAAAAAAATTTTCAAAGTGAGTTGAATTTGTCCCAATTTTAACGCACTTTGAAAATTTTTTTCAAAGTGCGTAATTTTTTCAAAGTGCGTTGCCACAGTTGTGCTCCCTCGTTTTCTTTCCTAGGATTTCACAGCATGCACTTTTCCAAGTGTCTTGGAGCTTTAAGCTACCCAATGATCTTCTATGGTTGTCTCGTGTTGTTATCTCCCACCTTTGCATTCAAATCTCCCATCACAATTTTCATATCTCTGCAAGGTGCACGGTCTAACAATGACTGTAGCGCAGAATAAAATTCTCCTTTCTCCTGCTCCTCTGCTGCATTTGTGGTGCATACATGTAGCATTGAATGATGGTAACCTTCCTTCCCTAGGAATTGAACCTGGCTGACATGAGTCTTGAAGACAATGGTCCCGACGCTTTCAATGCTTTTGTTGCTTCTGGTGACAACATTAAGGCAACCCCATTGAGTGTGTTCATGGTCCTGTTTCTCATGTCCTGAGTAAATTATGGTCTCTCCTGATGATAAACAGACTAGTCCTCTTCCATTCCACCTAAGTTCACATAATCCAAGTACATTGATGTTATATCTTTTCATCTCCTTAACTATTTGGGCAGATTTTCCTACCTCGTATAGGGTTCTGATGTTCCAGGTCCCTATCCTATAGTTTTTGCCTTAATCGACAGAAGAATTGTCGGTGAACTGGCTTCCTGATGGCTTTCACCTGAACACGTCATGAGCTCTTCTTGAGATCCATCTTCCAGATCTAGGTCTCGAACTTGTTGTGGTGTTGTTGTTGCGGTTTCTGTAGCATAGCCTTTTTTATGGGATGGAGTTGCTAGCACCATGCCCAACCCCCTGGACCCGGAGAACCGGTAGTTTTTTGTTGGGGTTTTCCTTCCCCTAGTCACTGGTTCCATTTATTTAAAGGCGCCGGAGACTCGCTTTTTGTCACTGTCACTCAGCTGCCTAAGCATTTCCAGGGCCACCAAACGAGGAGGTGTGACACGTGACTAGCTGGCAGAACCTATTTGAAACAGTGGGCATTAACTCGAGGTTTTTGTGATGACACCTAGTGACATTTAGTGTTATCCCTCGAGACCCATACCAGCATTTGACCCCATCTTGTTGAATACTACTTTCAAATGATTCTTTATGTGAACTTTTCTAGCATAAACAAATTATGTGAAATGCATTTACCACTGAAAACTGGCTACAAAGAGGGTCCGTGTAACACTTAACAATTCAAATTTTTAAAATGATTTAGAGTATTAGAATGCTAATATATAAGTTCAAATTTCTAAATTTCAAAAACTCACACCGATTTTTGAGTTTCATGTCTGTGTGAACGATATGACGTCATTTATTTTTTTTAATCAATTAAATATACCTCCGGAAATAAACTTTAATGAACAACTTGACATATATAGCTGTTTAAAAGTTAGAATCAGTTAGGAGTGTAAACCCAATACTACAAAAAGAATTTCTGAAAATTAATATGTTTCAGGAAATTTCCTCTCCGTTTTATGGCAAACACTCTCAATTTTATTCATAAACGGACGAGAGTTAGTGAAGAGGAACTATTTCCAGATTTTCAATTGTTGCTTGTTGATGTGAATGTGAACTGAGGGAAGGCACAAAAAATCAGGTTTGTGTTTTATTTTGCACTGTAGTGTGTAAGGTTTTTTTTTTCTTTACTATTCTTCTGTAAAGGTACAGTTGTAATTCATATATATATACATATAATATACAGTACATGTAAATTGTAAAAAATATATTATTTTAATATCTTGAAATAGTGATTATAATTATACTGTGTCGCATTCTCTTTATATACTAGTATACCGTAAGGCCAAATATATACACCCCATATGAGAAAAAACACACAATACAGGAGTCCTGAAATTGATAAATTTGTCGCAATTTTTGAATTTTGTAAATTTCTCCAAATAATTCTGTACAGTAAGTTTTATTGGGTGTATTGTAAGCATTTTATCCGTTGTTTTTGCTTAAGAACAGATATTTCTTCTATTAAAGCAGTTTAGTTAGATCAAATCATTTGAAGGACGTCATTTTTATGACTTTTAAGCTTGTGTTGTATGTTTTGGTTTGTGTGTTTTTTGTGAATAGGTAGGTAGGTTTTTGAAAGATGAGTGGACGCTAAACAGAGAAAAAAAACTTGGAATGGCCTAAACGGACAATCTCTAAAACTTGACAAAATTGGGAAAAGATAACAAATATCGAATTTTTGGTACTATATATATATATAAAGTTAGCTGCAGAACTGTAGTTCACCGGAAAAAATGTATTGACAGACTCCGGTCTATCAATATTTTTTTCCGGAGAGCTACAGTTCTGTAGCTACTATAAAGTATGATTGCATGTACATGTATATTTGCTAAGTAATCGTTTCAAAAAGAAAAAAAAAATCTCAGTCAGAATATTAGGGGGGTCACACCATAGACCAATTATTCGTCAAATGATTGTGTTCACTTAGTAATTTACGAAAGAATAGAGGAAATATCTTAAAGTTGAATTGTTATCTTTTCAGCCTGTAGTACTTTGAGGAATTCGATTTTTAAAATAAATAAAATTCATATATAGAAACTCGGACACCCCATAGCTCACGAATAAAACGCAGTCTGTGTTAGCTAATAACTTCGTCAGTCTGACTCATCTAAATGTTTACTTTTATGGGTGTTAGTATTTTTGACGTTAAATACAGCGATTGTGTTTTGACAACAGGGATCAGCCAAACTGACAAAGGACAGTCACAGTGCCCCGTGTAAAACGTTAATGGACAAATAAACAAAGATGACAGAGGAATTGAACTGTGTTGAGGTAAATATTTACCTGTACAAGTTAATTGCTGACCATGTATAAAAGGCTTTCAGAGTAATTTCGGTCTACGATCTCTGTGAATAAACTATTGATTGTTCTTTGCGGTAGACAGTTATCAGCTGTTCATTAAATATCCAGACATATCTGTTCCTCTTGACTGGTTTTCTTGATAGTCACATAGCAGAGTGTATATGCTTAGCACTCGTCGTTCAATCTAATATCCTTATAATCCTGGTCGCCCCTTGGATTCAGTTTTACAGAATCACTATAGGCTCTAAGTTTATATAAACAGATGGATCTTGTACTATCAGCTGACAATCTATACTTAGCTTGAAAAACCTAGCTTTTTACAAATTTGAAGTAACTTTATCTATGTATTTTGATGTCAATTTTTACAAGCTTTCTTTTCATTTAAAATAGACAACAATGGCAAGACTACCTGTATATGAATATGTCATTGTGTCTAATATTTGTTTAGTTTTTTTAAAAAAGCAACACACCAGTCAGAAAAGCAATATCATTGATTGTTTAACTTTAATTGTCCACAGCCTTGTGTGCAGTGAGACATGGATAAGTATAATTACTTACTGAATTATATAACCAGTCGATATATCTTAATCAGAACTGGTCATCTTTGTTAAATCATTGAAGAGGTAACTGTTTTGTCACAATAACTCAGTAATTCACAAATACATTGTACATACCAGATATTCTCCAATCTTTGAGATCCTTGATTGCAAATGCACTAAAAGAAACACACTTTCATTTGCTTTCAGGTCAGTTCAAAGTAAAATTTAAAAATATTACTACATCAAAGTGTGAATTTTTTGTAATCCATGAAAAAGGTTTATTTAAGAAATAACTATGATTAAGAAATAATTATGATTTAGCACTAAAATAAAGCTACATCAGGTAGATAAATAAAGCAATGTAGGTAATTCAAGCTACAAAGCAAAATATAATGATTGAACAATTGAACTGGTAGTGGACCTGATAAAATATTTTCAGGAATCTGTATAATAAGTGAAAATCAGAAAAAAGGGGGGGGGGGGGGTGCAGTTAATAATTGAGTTTTTATTCCTATAAATATTAAATTCTGCATTAAAAAAATTCCATATTTAAAGAAAATTATTGAGTAACTTAGACTGTAACTTTAGGTTGAAAAGTTACATTATTTAAATGTTTAATTAACATAGGTGTATCTAAATTTGGCTATTCATCAAGGTTAATCAATTTATTGTGCCAGATTTTCATTGTGACAGGAAATAATTTCAGATGAGAGGTGCATTGATTAAATGTGTACGGTACCAATTCATAGAAATTTCAAAATAAGTATCAAATTCATAATTTGATATTCCTGTTTATCAAATTTTGGATAACCCGTTTTCTGGAAATATTTATTTTTAAACCTTGAAGTGTGTGAAGACCAAATTAATTGCAAATGTAAAATGGCACTCGCAAAATTGAGATATCAGGGGGAAGTGAAATGCACAATATAAATTTCCTTAAGTTGATGTGCCTGTTTATGACACCCACATAATTTCTATGAATTCCATTAAATCCTTAACTTCCTTTAATAATTATTTCTGTTAATTAATTCAATTCCTTTTGCTTTTTTTTTTTGCTTTGCTAAAAATTGCACTTCATATGAACACGAATTCCTGTGGAATTTCCATTTTAAACTTTTACCTCAAATTTTAGAAAGGCTTTACATCACATGCATGTATTCACCAGATATTACAAAGGTAGGGTCGATACACTCTTCCCAGGGTGTTCCAATCAGATGAATGTTTTTTACTTTGTATATTTAATAACCATGGTAAGTGAAGCACCGAAAATCCTTGCATGTGGGGGGAAGTTCACTCCCCTTGCCAGACAAGTCCTCGTACCGTATGAATTTTTTATGTGTCTTTTATATGTACTTTTAAGAATAATTTTGGTAGCTCAACAATTTTTAAAACATTTGTACGAAATGGATTGGTTGGAGTATAAAGTTTAAGGGGGGATAACAAAGAATAATCGATCCAAACAAATCTATAAACACTACAAATGTGTGAAAAGGGCATAAACACGAAATTCCAGGGGTGGGATTAGATGCGTAGGAGGAGTGAACATCGTCTGTTGATCGGTCACACACGCCATTAGCACTTTATATATCAATCAGGTAAACGGAACTTTCTATAGCCAATTCAGTATAAAAGTAAAGATGGCGAATTAAAACTTCAAATACGTGTAGTATATGATATTCCAGTGCCATGTATTCTTTAATTTTATTTGTATGTAGAATACTCACAGAGTTAATCATGGAAATGTATATTTTTAGGAAGTGGACGCGCCTAGCGCCACCATTCCTCGGTTACAGTTCCTGTCGCACCTCTCCAGCGGTTTAGAGGGAATCCTGAACAGTACACAGCACGCTGACGTCACTATCCAAGTGGACGACCACGAATACCAATGTCACAAAGTGATATTGTCAGCTATGTCGCCATATTTCGAGGCCATGTTTACCCACGATATGAAAGAAAACCGTGAAAGTGTTGTCAGATTACACGACATAGAACCCGAAATATTTCAAAATCTTCGAACTTTTATGTATACAGGAAAAGCCACAGTTAGAGAAGACAACGCGGAAAAAATCTTTCGCGCCTCGTCGCTAATGCAGATACCATGTTTGCAAGAACGATGCGAAGATTTCTTACTTTCTCAAATTTCGCACGAAAACTGCATTGGGATATGGAAGATTGCAAAGGCGCATGCGTGCCAAAAACTTTGTGAGAAAGCATGGGGCACAATTCTGGAGAATTTTCAGATGGTTTGCACCACAGAAGATTTTCTGCATCTGGATATAGACGAAATTGTTCTTATTTTCCAGGATGACTATTTGAAATCTCCTTCAGAAGAATTTATTTGTGATGTCGCCAACGAATGGATCGACTTCGATAAAGATCGCCGCTGTCAAAATATCTGTGAAATTCTTCCCGCGTTGCGCCTTCCTCTCGTGTCCTCAGATTACTTGTTTCATGTTTTTGACTCTAATATTGTGGTCCAGAACAGTCCTCAGTGTAGGTCGGTAATGCGGGAAGCTATGAGGTACCACACTTGTCTGTCTAAACGTCAAGATTTTACATCCCTTCGCTGTAGCAGAAGAATGACCAGTAAAGTCGACGATGTTTTGATCGTTATCGGGGGCTTGTTATCCACCACTCCTCGATACCAAACGACAAAAGAGGTTCTTTGCTACAGCTTCCAGCAGGAAAAATGGTTTTATCTCCCATGTTTGCCGTACGATCCTGGATACGAGTTCGCAGCCTGCACACACGGGGACAGCATATTTGTCTCTGGCGGTTGGTTAAAACTCCAAGGCCTTGCAGAATTTAAAACTCACAAAAATGAATGGAAGATCTGTGAAACCATGACAAATGGAAGGTGTGGTCATGTAATGGTCTCAGTAGCACACTCTATCTTCGTTTTGGGCGGAAGAGATGGGCGGGCACCTGCTATGACGAATATAGAGGAATTTAATCTACAAACCGAAAAGTGGTCCATGGCTGGCGATCTCATACTAGGAGTAAGGTCTACATCTGCATCGACAATCGGGGAAAAAATATTTATTTTTGGAGGAATTACAGAATCAGATAAAGACACAATGTCTGTACAATGTTTTGATACGCGACTGCACTGCACTAGTATAATAGGCGATCTTCCCTTTACTTGTCGACTCACCCGAACCGTGAGTTTAGATATGTCAGTCTATGTACTTGCACCAGATGGTAGAGTTCTTGAATTCTGTGATCCAACGTTGAGTATCATTTCTCACAACGTTTCACGACCAAGGTCCCGCTGCGATTCCTCGGATTCCACAGATGTCACCGTGACGTCAACAGAACCATATACGGTAACGACAACGTTATCACCAGTGCTGGGGAAGCTGTTATGTCGAATTCCAAACTTCAGTCAACATCACTTTGAGGTGATCCAGCATCGCGGGAACATCTTGCTGGTTGGCGGGAAAACACCCGACAACACAATTCTGAAGAACATTATACAAGTTAACGTTCGTTGTAAAGGGGATGTCAAGGTCACCGATCAGTCACCATTGGAGATGCCCTCAGCACGTTGGTGCTTCGGATGTGTCAAAACAGTTGTACCACGTGACTACCTAAACAATGAAATGAGGAACTGATATGAGGCACTGGAAGCAGTTGTTTTTAACAAAGAAAATAGAGGCTTCGTGCAACGTACTGCGATGAGATACGTGCATAGAATGTTGCTTATTCTAGCTAAGGATACTATTGTTATTGACTGATGAATTCTTTGTTTATGTACTTGTTTCTTCGATAAATAGTTATTTGGTGTCCAAAGTCGTAATTTAGATTTAAAGAGTTAAGGTTTTAGAAATGGCATAATGTCTTTCAACTTTAGTGCAATGTATATGTTGTTTGTTGAGCTTCTTTTCTGTTGTTTATGTTTCCATTATTTATCTGCTTAGCTTGCCCGGCGAAATTCTGAAGAACCAGCCTGTTGTCTACAAAATAATTGCAGGAATTCTTTCTTTAACAAGTTCTATACCAATTCGAATTTAGACCAAAATTGAGATTATTTTATTTTATTTATGTACCGTTTTGGTTTTTACATTTAAAAAAAATCCTAATAATGTTGGTTGTAAGAAATGGTTTATACTTTGATATTGTAACATCCTCATTCAAAAACATTTAGAAAAAATGTTTCAATTCATCTTTTCTGAAAATCTAACTTTAAAACATCCTTACCTCCCATTCTGTTTTTTGATAGGTTTGCGTGTTGTGTCGGTAATGTTTCATGCCTTGCAATCGACTTTTTTCTTCACATTTTTGTGTTTCAATTTGATTTTCACTTGATTGTGGTGCTCTTTAAAATTAATCAGATTCCCTGTAATTTCTCTTATTAAATGCAAAGGATTTTTATACTCATTTTAACAGGATGTAATATATAAATGATAGTTATTAGAAATAAACCTTATGCAATACTTTAATAATTTTGTAGTGTACCCCCCCCCCTCGTTTAGCTGTTACATGTTGCCATTCGTCATTTTAGTAGAGGAATAAATATCTGTTGACCCAAGTTCGTTGTTGTTATTTTTTCTGTGTTGTGAAGCTAAATGCTAATTTGGTCAAACAAAAGTACAGTGATAATTTGATAAATCCATAGTCGATGGTTTGCTTTTATAAAATATGATGGAATAATACAATCTCAATACGAAAAAAAATCATCGGGTGAAATTCAAATACACACTGTAACTATGGATTGTGTAATAATTTTCTGACAAGGCAGCCGAGACAAGTTAATCGTATCAGAAATGTATGAGCACCAGCTGAGGAATTAAGATTCTAGGTTCGATTCCTGCAGTCTTTTCGTGGTCACTCATGTTACATTGATGTCCTGATTAACATGTGCCCCGATACTCGTATGAACTTTGGCACCACTATTTCATGTGGCAAAAACAATATACCACCGAGATCCACGGGCATAAAAGTATGGCAATGAGACAGGTTTCTCACCAGTCACTAGAAGGTTTAGTTTGTAGAACTCATCCTGTGTCATCCAGGCGTATAGCCTTGTCGAGTCTATCTATTTTAGCCCATTTAAGACGCTGTTTAAATAGAAAACGGAACATTCCGTTGTCAAAGAGCTCGGTTCACTTTATGCATAAAACGGCCCTGTAGATATACCAATTTATTTACTAACATTTTATGTTCCATTTTAAACATCAAAATAAAGTAGAGACTAAGTACTTTCATTTCGGTTTAAAATTTTTTTCCTTAAATTCCAGGTCTAGGAATACAGGCTTTTTGGAATTGCAATGTTCTTGAATTTTAATGTAAACAGGTATATTTGAGTACTTTCAGAGAAGAAAAATATGAGCGCACCCTCTGATCTAAAAAATAAAACATGTCTTGTACTCTTCAGAAAAGGTTCTATCATTTACTTGTTGCTTATTTTAGATCAGAGGTTGCACTCTATATTAAATATTTAAAAATAGCTATAAAAAATATATTTGCTACTAAAGTCATTATAACAACCATAGAATTTACTATTTATTTGTTAACTAAAATAAGCCAGTTTCAGTTTTTCTGAAATTCACAGGGCCAAAAAAGGCTATAAGTGAACTTTGTTCTTTAGTTAAGAAAAAGGCTCAACAATATTGGTATGTAACAAATCAGCCAAAATACGACCGATTGATAGTATTATTTGCTACTAAAGTCATTATAACAACCATAGAATTTACGAATTGCTGACTTTTGAAATAAAAAGGAAAAGTTGACTGTTGAAAAGTTGGTCTTATTGTTTGTCATACAATTCAGGTGTTGGTTAGTCTTTTTCTCTATAGTCAGAATTTTTCGAGTCATATAAATGGAAATAACCACTGTTAATTGATATTGATATGGGGGAATTTTATTGGAATATAGGGGTATAGATTTTTTTTTCTCATGTTAAAGTTTTTGAATATAAATTCTGCTTCTCTGGAATATAAAACAGGTCGGCTAAGAAAGGAGCACAATCCGTTCCCATCGGAATTCCAACAGTTCCGGTCTTCGAGGACTACAAAAATGTCAATGAAGAAATCCAGCATTCTTTTGATATCGACTTCAGGGTACTTGTGTGTAGGATAAGAGTGATTTTTTGACAAAGTAATTGTGTTGATGATTAGTCACGAGATGTGAACATATCCGATTTCCCTTTTTATAGAAAAATCAATTGTTCAAGACATCAAAAGGCCAAGTTCTTAATTTTAGTTTGAGGAATACATGTACATGTAATTGTATTCGTGTCAACGTTAAAGACTTTTGAAAAGTTCTTTAGGTTTTTTTTAAGGATATACATAAACTCTATGTATATAGGTGTGGTACGTCTTTTTTAAACGTGTTTTTTCTTGCCTGAAAGTGTCAGGATCTTTATTTTAACAACTTTTAAGTGTATTTAAAGAAGATTCAACATTTTAAAAATTTATTTTACATTTAACAATCCGGAAGACAAGCCCCTATGTCTCTCAAGATAACTAGTAATTGTATGCCCTTAAATCACTGATGTTTTTAATACTGCCATTTGAAATGTACCTCTCTCTCTCATCTCTCTCTCTCTTCATCTGTAAACTCTCTCTCTCTCTCTCTCTATTCTCTCTCTCTCTTCTCTCTCTCTCTAACATAAAGCATTTTACTCTTAGTTCCATCGTCTCAAGCCACGGTCCGGAGTCCGCTTATAGCTCTCTCCTACGGAGAGGATCGTACATTTTGGCCGTGGTTTGCGACGATGTCTTAGTTCATGAAGATAGTATTGGAATAAGTCTTTGATCCCTAACAGAATGGGGCTAATTTTTAAACTCGGCACTTTGTCCGTGTCCATTTTCTGAAGAAGTTTTATTATATTATATTTAACATCCACTGAATGTCATCTCCTTTACTTTCATGAAACCCATGGTGGTTTATCAATCTGTAAACGCTGCTATGCAAACCACCTCTGTAGATTTCTTGAACAACGGCTTTTCCATTAATGAGACATGTCAAAAATATGATACTAAACATGCTTCCTTTTAAATTATATATTTTTTGAAAAATAAAGCAGTTTATATACAATTTGGTTAGGAGTAAAGATACATATAGAGGATGGGTAGAACATTTGCTGGAACCGGCAATGCATCTTTCTTTTTTAATCCAGTATTATAGTTAAGATAGAGCGAACTCACTTTGGTCGACTGATTTTCGATAGAATTAAAATGATGGCTTCTAGTAAATTTCACCGATGTTCTTTATACTGCCATTTGAAATATACTATCGTGATAAGAACATCTGCTGATCCCCGTGGCATACTGTAAATCAATAGATTTATACATCGTTAAGACCTTGGTATTTTAAAGTTTGTTTGCTTTCTAACATAAAGCATTTTGCCACTGAATGTCATCTCCTTTACTTTCATGATATACTCATGGTAGTTTATCATTCTGTAAACGTCGCTAAGCCTTGTAATCACTTCTATAGAAGTGATTGAAGTGAAGTGATTCTGTTTTATAAGATCGTGCGGATTTTTTTATAACCCCCACTAGAAAAGCAGGAGGGTATATAGTAATCGGTATCTCCGTCCGTCCGTCTGTCTGTTACACTTTGGTGTACCCCATCTCTTATCCGCAACTCCTCTCATACTGAATAAAATTTAATGAAACTTTCACAGAATCTTTATTACATATTGCCATTGGGCACCTTCTATTTTACTTTTTGATTCAACATATATTTTGGATTTCCCATAGCAAAACATGGACTCTCCCATAATATATATATGGAAGGCGGGGGTATCATTTAGTGAGCTCTTTGCTCACAGTACATGTACCTAGTTTTTTTCTCGGTAAAACCCTTTCCTCAAACAAAAAAAAACCCTCAGCTCCTTCCCAGTTTTATTCAATTTATTTCCTTATATTGGGGTTTATGAAATGCAATTTATATGGGTATACGTCTTTTTCCGTGTTGTACATTTTTCTATAAATTATGAATGTTGAGGCGAAATCATTCCCGATAACAACATGCCTCGAAAATATTAACAAATGTTTTTTTTTTTTAAGGGGGGTGTGCGAATTTATTCATTTAGTTTTTAGTCTATTTGTCTACAGAAACATTAATCTTAGCTAAACCTTTTGAATGGTTGGTACTAGTCCTTTCATATTTATACCCCCGCTTGAAAAGCGGGAGGGCATATAGTAATCGGTATGTCCGTCCGTCCGTCTGTCACGCTTTGGGATACCCATCTCTTATCCGCAACTCCTCTCATACCACTGGATGAAATTTGATGAAACTTTCACAGAATCTTTATTACATATTGCCACTGTGCACCTCCTACTAGTATTTAACTTTTGATCCAAAGGTCACATATTTTGGGTTTCCCGTAGCAAAACATGGACACTGACATTATATTCATAATAATGGGAGGCGGGGGGTATCATTTAGTGAGATCACTGCTCACTGTACCTCTAGTTAACATGTGTTTTTTACTTCTGACTAGATTCTTCATTTGGTTTCAACTTTTTTACCTTGACTTTGGATCTTGACGTTCCTGAGAAAAATTGACCTTCAGTTGGCTATTACTTCTGAACAGTTGGTGCATGGATTTTCGTATTTTGCATGTTTTTCTATGATGAGACAGTCTTTATGTACCATAAAATTGAAACTCTGATCTTGACCTAGGAGTTTGACTACTAGTA